AAGCTAATATGGATCGGTCTGTATCGTACTACACAGAATGATTCTAATCTACGCATTCATAGCATTCCTTACCGGGGTATTATCCTCAGCTTGTGGTTCATAGGACTGTAACTGAAAGAAGGAAATGAAATAACACAAATAAAAATTAATCACACTTCAGTCACGAAAATCCTAAGTGTCTTCTCGCATTTGCTGTAGTTCTTTCAGAGTGAAATTTGTCCTGGTTAATCAAAACATCTTTTTTAAAGCCATCTAGTTTGCAGTTCTTGAAAAGCTCCAAAATGTTCCAATCCTGTACTTACTCAAGACTGTCAGACGAGAATAATATTAGATTCTTACAGTATAAAGATGGACCTCTGAAATAACATAAGCATATATTGACTGCCATTAAAGCGATTGATTTTTTGATTACATCACGACAGCTTATTGCATATTACAAATCACATAGATGTGCATCACAGACACTACAAGTAACCAGCTGTTTTTAATTCTCCAGTGCAACAGAAAGATGGTTTTACTCCTTTTAAACTGCTATGTGCTAGATCTTAGTACTTGACATTAAAGACTCTTCAACATCATGCCAAAGAAAATCAAAACAGTTAAAATATCTGGAGTGATTTGTAACAAATAAGTGACAAATTCAGTGGCAGTGTCAAAGTTGGCATAAATGTTAAAAAGTACAACAAAACTAAAAGATAGGAAGGTAACCCTGGACCTTGTCTGAAAAATAACATTCTTTGCTTTCTAGGAAGATTTTTAATTGTTATGAAAAAAGAGATAAAATTGCAGACAACACCAGCCCTGTTCCTAAATTTACATGTTCCACAGTCATCAGACGAGTGCACAATATTCCCTTCAAGAGTTGATACCTCCATGCTTTACTAGCAGAGCAGTTGGCTACTCATACAAGCCATTATGAAAGTCAATTTCACTTAAAATCAGGCATTAAATTCTTGGTCTACATTACTTGGTTTGAATCCATCAAATTCTTATCAATCACATACTATAACAAACTACCAATGATATATTGCTTAGCAATGAATGCATAGTTCCAGGTAAGTGAGGGGCCTCAGGTATAAACCCTACATGGTCAGCTACACGACCTGACAAATTAATAAAAAAATGGTGAAGATTTGGTGGGAACAGTGGGAATTGACCCATTGCAATTCCCTGTTGGCACCCTGCCTTGAATAATGAAAACTTATCTGGAACCCTGTGAATGACATATTTAATTTTATTCCCCTGCAAATAATGTTAATCATCAGGTTATACAAGGACCAGCCCATTTATTAAAAATAAATGCAACTGTAGCAGCTTTTACATCTAAATTAATGTGATTTATGTTCTTGTTAATTATTTTTGTTTCTATCGTGCCAGGATTACGGTGCAAACATTAAACCACGTGCTGAAGAACAAAATTACTCACAGGTTTACTCAGAAAGTTCAACAATAGGCTCCTGTACAATAACAGGCCCTGGAGTCCTTGCAGATCTACGGCTGTTGGAGCGGCTTTGCATCTAGTTTAAAGCTACTTTTAGTATGCTGTTAATTCCCATATCAGTATTTAAGCTGGCTAAGTTGGTTTGAAACATTATTTTCGTCCCATGTAAATCACCTTGGAGAAAGACAACTTAAACATCAAAGGCTTTTAAGAAGTTTTAAGACCGAGCATGAGAAAACTAACAGTTACTGGTAGAATAAATGAATTGACAAAAAGGTGCAAATTACATTCTGTCAAGTAAGTTTAAATGTGCTTCACATTTACCAGATCAGAAAGACCCAGATCAGACCTTTACATTGAATTGTTTAAGTATATTGGCAGTTTCAATATTTTATGTGTACAGCAGTCCACAGTCAAGAATTATCAAATTGATAGAAACTAGAATCTGTCACATGGGTATATAACAAACAGACTATAAAAACTCCTTGGTATTAGACCTGCATAATGTCCAGTACTAACTCAATACTTTCATGCCTCATGGCTTCTACTTTTGCCATTTCTTGTATGGATCTACTATTTTATTTGGTCTTATTCAATAATGCCCTTTNTTTCTTTTGTTTGTTTTTAGGTATCTTTGTAGACTACAGATGAAATGTCCCACACAGCCGGACAATTGTGAACGTCTTCGATAGATTCAAAAGTGGCCTCATGTTCATCTTGAATTGCGTCCGCTATTTTGTGAAGTGTCATGCAGATAAATCATGTGTATAGAGCCCGTGTTTTGATTGGTTGACAGTCAACAACACATGTTTGCCAATCGTTCACACGTCAGAAACAAGTTTACCAACACAAAAAAGTTGGTGAAAAAGTTGGCGAGAATAGAGACAAGTTCTATTTGTTGCCAACAGTTTGCCAACATGTTTACTGACTGTTTTTGTGCCGTTCACACACACCAACTTGAGTTTGCCAACTTAAATTTGCCGTGTGAAGGCCGCTTTAGACAGTAGCCCTAAACTCCCTCTCCCCATCAAAAAAAAAAAAAAAAAAAAAAAAAAATTGAGATTTTTAGCTACCTGTAACATGACCAAAATGTTTTTAAAGGACCATTCACCACCCCTATAATTTATAAGTTACTGTTTTAGTGCCAGCAAGTGATGAAGTCTGTTGTTATCGAGTGGATGGGACTTACAGGAGTTCCTTGGGCCCACGACAGCTGCTTTTCAACACTTTTGAGTGCACTAGAGGTAGATGGTGGCTCAGAAAGTGATATTATCTGTTATAGTTAAATGATGACTGTCACAAACAATGGTTTTGTTTACATGTTAGCTTTTTCACAGAAGGGTTTAATGTTTCTACAGTGTAGAATCATACAATATCACAATCTAAAAACAGACAGTATTAATTTTACATTGTTTAAAGGTCAGTATGTTGTATAGTTTAATTCTCAACTGTTTCAGGCGACATTAGTAATGACAAAATAACAAATAGTGGACTATCCAATTGTAAATGATGTGTGTCATCAACAATGTGCAATTGCCCATTAACTATGTACAGTACTTTTAATATGAGAAGTAGCACCTGACAGAACACCCATCAGGTACTCTGCAGTGAATTGCTAGCTATAATAATGTTAGCAGTTTTTTAAAGAAATACTACTAGATGAAATTGTTGTGGGCCACGGCAGCAGCCTAACCCAAATCTTATTGAAAGCACTGATCTAGAGACCTGGGGTGATAAACATGTTATTCAATGTACACTAAAAGTGATTCAGGGTTTCCAGGTTTCCAATTTGTTTCTCAATATTCTACATAATTTTTATGTACTCTTACTTAATCGTGTTCTAGATGACAATTTTA